TATGCGCGATGAGGCTAATGCCAAAGAAAAGGCGGGTATATGTCAAGCCATGTCCGATGATGCCAATAAAGATTTAGAAATTGCTATGCCCGCTTTGAAAGAAGCGGAAGATGCCCTAAAAGGTTTAACCAAGGCTGACATAAATGAGTTGAAATCTTTTACCACACCACCAGCTTTAGTGCAATTTGTTATGGAAGCTGTTTGCATACTATTGGGAGCTAAGTAAGATTTCTTCTATTTCCTTAATTTAACTATAAAGTATAAATTTTCAATTTTTTACAGACCAACCTGGGCTTCTGCTAAGGGTATTATGGCGGATGTGAATTTTATAAAGAGACTTTTTGAATTCGATAAAGAACATATTAAAGAAGAGACTTTGAAAAAAGTTAAGAAATATATAAGTCACAAAGATTTTGTGCCCGCTGTAAGTAATTTATGAAAACATGGAAAATTTATACAAATTTAAAAATTTTACCAAAAACCCCTCTTAGAAATTCGAAAAAGTTTCAAAAGTAGCGAAATCGGTTAGTTTATGGGTCATAGCCATGGATAAGTTTGCCAAAGTATATAAAGTAGTGGAACCCAAAATCAGACGCAAAGAACTTGCAGAATCCGAACTTAAAGAAGTAATGGCCATTCTAAGAACCAAACAGCAAGAATTGGCCTCTGTAGAAGCAAAAATTCAGACTCTTAAAGATAATATCGATCAGAAAAGTCGTGAATTTCAAGTTATACAAGATGCGGTTGATCTAACTTATGGTCGTATAAATAGAGCAGGACGTTTAACGTCAGCTTTATCAGATGAGGAAGTAAGATGGAAAGAAACGGTTCAGGTAAGTGAAATTCTAAAACCCAGTAAGCAGAAATTCTTTAAATTATAATATAATATCCAAAAAGGCTTTAACACTGGAACTTGAGTGCGTACCAGGAGATGTTCTAGTAGCTGCTGCGTGTGTAGCTTATATGGGAGCATTTTCCACCGAATATCGCAATGAACTGTGCGCCCAATGGGTGGACAAGTGCCGGGAACAAAAAATTGCTTCTAGTAGTGAATTTCATTTACTTAAAGTTTTGGGTGATGCTTATGAAATACGTCAATGGACTGTCGACGGCCTACCGAAAGATGACATCTCCGTAGAAAATGGTCTCTATGCCACACGAGCCCTACGCTGGCCTCTTATGATCGATCCCCAAGAACAAGCCAATCGTTGGATTCGAAATATGGAGAAACATAATAATTTACACATTTTGAAAATGACCGATGGAAATTTATTGCGTATTATAGAGAATTGTATACGACAGGGTTATCCCATACTTTTGGAAGATATAAGTGAAAATATTGATCCCTCCATTAGACCGGTGTTGCAGCGTGAAACTTATGTCTTTGAGGGTAGAACTTATCTAAAACTTGGCGATGTTATAATCGATTATGATGAACATTTCAAATTGTACATGACAACAAAATTGGCTAATCCACACTATTTGCCAGAAATATGCATTAATGTGACGTTGGTTAACTTTTGGTTACGGAAAGTGGTTTGGAAGATCAACTGTTATCGTAAGTAACTATAGGAGTTAACAATGGATATACAGTGGAGGAATTTCGAAAGGAAAATTAATATTTAACTTCTTAAGAATTACGCGAGATTTTAAACCTTTTCGCAATTTCCCAATTGTGAAACATATTAATATTACTAGAAATCCACTTTAAATCGTTAAAAACTAATATTTTCTATGAATTTTATTTTACTACTTTAGCGATATTGTAGCAATTGAACTTCCCGCCTTAGAAATACAACGAAATGATTTAATTGTTAAAATCAATACTGAGTAAAGCAGCAATTGTTTAGCTTTGGAAGGACAAGGTTCTTAAGCTTTTATTCAATTCTAAGGGCAATATTTTGGACGATGAGGAATTTGGTGGAAACTCTTAATGATGCCAAGGTTGGTTAGCGGTGGAAGCAAAGATATTTTACACCATTTTGTATATTTTTATAGGAAACTCCTTAATAATTGCCACCCGTTTAGTGGGACACTGAAGAAACTGAAAAAGTCATAACCGCCACTAGAGAAAAATATCGCAATTTAGCCTCTCGCGGAGCTATACTATATTTTGTAGTTGCCAGCCTGGCTGACATAGATTCCCATGTATCAATATAGCTTAAAATATTCTTACAGATCTTTTGTGGCCGTTATACGTTTGGATCATCCTAAAATGAGTACAGAAGAGCGCATAGAACATTGAAATTGGACGAACTAAAGGCTATCTATGATAATGTCTCGAGGGGACTATTTGAAAAATCATAAAAATTATATTTAGTTTTCTTTTATCACTCGCTATAGAGAGACAAGAAGGACGTGTAAGTCAGCAAGAGTTTAATTTCTTACTCGAGGAGTTGTTGGTTCTGTAAGGGAGAAATCCAAGCCAACGCATATTAAGTTAAGTGATTTCGAATGGGAGGCCTGTTTGTTTTTGGATGAAAATTTTGCAACATTTAAAGGATTTTCGGAGAAATTGCATATGCCATTCTTCTTAGAAATTGATGATAATCGAGAGGTTTTCAGATTCTCGGATAATGAGTCCTCATCTACGGTCAGCGATTATTGGAATAATAGACTTAACAATTTCCAAAAACTTATGTTTATACGAATTTTTAGAAGAGAAAGATTTTTGTTGAATGTGGTGGTTTATTTAAGGGCAACCATAGGCCGCTATTTTACCGAAGTTTCAGCAGCCGGAAGTCAACTTAAAGTTGTGTAAGTTTACAATTATAATGTTTATATCTCACATTTTCAATTAGTTAATAACTACTTTTACAGTTCCTAGATACTTCCAACATAACACCCCTAATTTTTGTCTTGTCTAGTGGTTCTGATCCCATGGCAAATTTCCTTAGATTTGCCGAAGATATGAAATATATGGATAAATTTTATTCCATTTCATTGGGTCAGGGACAAGGGCCAGTTGCCGAAAGTTTAATAGACAAGAGTTTACGTTTAGGTCATTGGGTGTTTTTGCAAAATTGCCATTTAGCCACTTCTTGGATGGGTCAAATGGAAAATATTGTGCGTAACATAACTTTGGGAGTTACCAAAGCCCATGAAAACTTTCGCCTTTTTCTGTCGTCCATGCCACAAAAAAGCTTTCCCATAAGTGTGTTACAAAACTCGGTTAAAGTCACAAATGAACCGCCCAAAGGTATTAAAGCGAATATTATGGGTGCTTTAGCCGATATCAATGTGGACTACTTTGAGCAGCATGTGCTCCAAGAAAAATGGCGTGCTATAGTATTTGGTCTTTGTGTATTCCATGCCGTGCTGCTGGAAAGACGCAAATTCGGTGCCTTGGGCTGGAATATAACGTATGAGTTTAATGAAAGTGATCGTGAATGTGGTCTTAAAATACTAGACTTTTTCATTGGTCGCCAGAAGGCCCAAAAAATACCTTGGGAAGCTATTTACTATATCAATGGTGACATTACTTGGGGCGGTAGGGTAACCGATTCGTGGGATTTGCGTTGCTTGAGAACGATATTAAAAATGTTTACATTTGACAAAATACTAGATCCTGATTACAAATATTGTCGTGGAGATCCGTATTACCGTGATCCTAGGAAAAAATACTATACTAGAATATCAGGAATATGTACAAAATTTTCCTACCTTAGAGGATCCGGAAATATTTGGCATGCATGAAAATGCCAATTTAGTGTTTCAAACGAAAGAAACAAATTTTTTATTAATACACTGCTAGTGGGTCAGCCAAGATCAGCAGCCGACGAGGGTCAAGCTCAAGAGAATGACTTATGCTTGGAGGTAATTTCGAAAATACAAGAAGTTTTAGCGGAAAAAATTAATAAAGAAAATTTACATCCGGACTTACTAAAGGTACTTGCCATTACACCATATCCAATTGTATTTTAGAAATTTCTAATTCAATTTCATAACATAAATAAACTATTAATCAAAATAAATTCAACATTTCCTTTATAAAACTCCTAACAGATTGATGCTAAAGGTCAACAGCCTTCCTTAACCACCGTCTTGGTTCAAGAATTGATCGTTATAATAATTCTCTGCGTTTGGTGCATACCAGCCTCATTGATTTACGCAAAGCCATTAAGGGTTTAGTGGTAATGTCTGAGGAATTAGAGGAAGTTTTTCAAGCTCTATTGGCAAATTTGGTACCAAAATTGTGGGAAAAGAAAAGTTTTCTTTCCATTAAACCACTGCCCAGTTATATAGCTGATTTTCAGAGACGTATAGATTTCATACAAAACTGGGCGGTTAGCGGTAATCCAAAATCCTTTTGGATAAGTGGTTTTTATTTTCCTCAATCATTTCTAACCGGTGTATTGCAAACACACGCTCGTAAACGGGTCTTGCCAATCGATGAATTAAAGATAGACTTTCAAGTACTGGAAAATATATTAATACAGCAGACTTTCTTCGAGAGAAGACTCAACAATCAACCAGTAAGTTTAGCTTTATAGAAGAAAAATTATTACTTAAAACATATGTCTTAATTAAAGGTTGAGGATTTATATGGCAATATGCCCGAGTCCTCTGAAGCAGGCGTAAATGTTCATGGCATATTTGTAGAGGCAGCAGAGTGGCGCAAATCGGAGGGCGGTTTATGTGATGCTAAGTTGGTATCTTATATTCCAGATTACCAGCCATACGTTTTATACCCTGCCTAAAACTAGATGCTGCTGAACGCTATGAGGCACCACTTTATAAAACCCAAGCTAGATCGGGAGTTTTATCTACCACAGGCCATTCATCAAATTTTATATTATCTATACTTTTGGAATCCGCCCTGCCGGCTGATTTTTGGATTTTACGTGGCACCGCTTTGGTGTCAGGAGTAGCTGATAATATTTCATAAATATAAACATTTTTTCATTGTTATTGTAAATAATTTAAATATTTTTATTATTAAATATAAATATTTTGTATGTTTAAACTCTACTAATCTTCCAACTCTTCCTCTGCGTCTGTTAGAGAAATATTGCTAATTTTTTGGAGCCACGATTTACCACACCATTCTTTTCATCCATCATTTTTTGTATTTCCATGGAGTTCTTGGTTTCTATGGGTGCTATGAAAATATCTCGCACGGCACGAAATTGTCCCACATTATATAAATGCTCATTCTCCAAACGTACATAATTCCAAATATAACGTCTAATGGTAAACATTCGACTTAATGTTATTGTTTATTAACTACAAAGATAATAAATACCTGATGATTTCCAAACAACCCGCTAAAGAATCCATATTATAGCTGCTTATATAGTTATGTGTTATCAGGTACAGAGATATAGCCCAAAAGAAACGCAATATGATATTTTCCACAATAGCAAAATAATAAAATCCTGGACGATAGACAATTTGCTCTCGCAGAAATATGTTCTTTCCCGAAAATGTTTGAAATAAACCAAAATCTCGCAAAATATCCCAACAGCAACAGTAGCAAGTTTGAAAAATGGCCGATATGATATAAAACCAAATGAAAGGATTTTCAAAGGTGTAATTGTAATCATCTAGAAGGAATTTGGAAAAAGCAATATGAATATGAAATATATCTGTGATCACCATCAAAAATCGATTTTTTGAGTGAAAACATAAAAGTCCATTTTCTGGATAAACTAGAGGCACTAGCGCAAAAAGAAAGAAAAGCTGTGATCACTATCATCGATTTTTGAGCGAAAACATAAAAGTCCATTTTCTGGCTAAACTAGAGGCGCTAGGGCAAAAAGAAAGAAAATCTGTGATCACTATTATTAGCATCAAAAATCGATTTTTTGAGTGAAAACATAAAAGTCCACTTTCTGACTAAACTAGAGGCACTAGGGCAAAAAGAAAGAAAATCTGTGATCATTTTAATTTCCCACTAAAAATCGATTTTTGTGGTGAAAACATAAAAGTCTATTTTATGGCTAAACTAGAGGCGCTAGGCCAAAAAGAAAATCTGAGACCATTTTAATTTCCCACTAAAAATCGATTTTCTGCCTAGAGGCGCTAGGCCAAAAGGAAAGAAAATAAGTGATCAAAAAAAATCGATTTTTTTTGTGAAAACATAAAAGTCCATTTTCTGGCTAAACTAGAGGCGCTAGGCCAAAAAGAAAGAAAATCTGTGATCACTTTAATTTCCCACTAAAAATCGATTTTTTAGTGAAAACATAAAAATCCATTTTCTGGCTAAACTAGAGGCGCTAGGCCAAAAAGAAAGAAAATCTGTACTCACTTTAATTTCTCAAAAAAAAAATCGATTTTTTGAGTGGAAACATAAAAATCCATTTTCTGGCTAAATTAGAGGCGCTAGGCCAAAAAGAAAGAAAATCTGTGATCACTTTAATTTCTCAAAAAAAAATTCGATTTTTTGAGTGAAAACATAAAAATCCATCCCATCCAAGAAAATCTGTGATCATTTTAATTTCCCACTAAAAATCGATTTTTTGTGTGAAAACATAAAAGTCTATTTTCTGGCTAAACTAGAGGCGCTAGGCCAAAAAGAAAGAAAATCTGTGATCATTTTAATTTCCCACTAAAAATCTATTTTTTGAGTGAAAACATAAAAGTCCATTTTCTGGCTAAACTAGAGGCGCTAGGCCAAAAAGAAAGAAAATCTGTGATCATTTGAATTTCACACTAAAAATCGATTTTTTGAGTGAAAACATAAAAATCTATTTTCTGGCTAAACTAGAGGCGCTAGGCCAAAAAGAAAGAAAATCTGTAATCACTTTAATTTCTCAAAAAAAATCGATTTTTTGAGTGAAAACATAAAAGTCTATTTTCTGGCTAAACTAGAGGCGCTAGGCCAAAAAGAAAGAAAATCTGTGATCACTTTAATTTCTCAAAAAAATCAATTTTATGGGTGAAAACATAAAAGTCCATTTTCTGGCTAAACTAGAGGCGCTAGGCCAAAAAGAAAGAAAATCTGTGATCACTTTAATTTCTCAAAAAAATCAATTTTATGGGTGAAAACATAAAAGTCCATTTTCTGGCTAAACTAGAGGCGCTATGCCAAAAAGAAAGAAAATCTGTGATCACTTTAATTTTCCACTAAAAATCGATTTTTTAGTGCAAACATAAAAATCCATTTTCTGGCTAAACTAGAGGCGCTAGGCCAAAAAGAAAGAAAATCTGTGATCACTTTAATTTCTCAAAAAAAAAATCGATTTTTTGAGTGAAAACATAAAAATCCATCCAATCCAAGAAAATCTGTGATCATTTTAATTTCCCACTAAAAATCGATTTTTTGAGTGAAAACATAAAAGTCTATTTTCTGGCTAAACTAGAGGCGCTAGGCCAAAAAGAAAGAAAATCTGTGATCACTTTAATTTCCCACTAAAAATCGATTTTTTGAGTGAAAACATAAAAATCTATTTTCTGGCTAAACTAGAGGCGCTAGGCCAAAAAGAAAGAAAATCTGTGATCATTTTAATTTCCCACTAAAAATCGATTTTTTGAGTGAAAACAAAAAATCCATTTTCTGGCTAAACTAGAGGCGCTAGGCCAAAAAGAAAGAAAATCTCTGATCACTTTAATTTCTCAAAAAAATCAATTTTTTGGGTGAAAACATAAAAGTCCATTTTCTGGCTAAACTAGAGGCGCTATGCCAAAAAGAAAAAATCTGTGATCACTTTAATTTCCCACTAAAAATCGATTTTTTTAGTGAAAACATAAAAATCCATTTTCTGGCTAAACTAGAGGCGCTAGGCCAAAAAGAAAGAAAATCTGTGATCACTTTAATTTCTCAAAAAAAAATCGATTTTTTGAGTGAAAACATAAAAGTCTATTTTCTGGCTAAACTAGAGGCGCTAGGCCAAAAAGAAATAAAATCTGTGATCATTTTAATTTCCCACGAAAAATCGATTTTTTGAGTGAAAACATAAAAGTCTATTTTCTGGCTAAACTAGAGGCGCTAGGCCAAAAAGAAAGAAAATCTGTGATCATTTTAATTTCCCACTAAAAATCGATTTTTTGAGTGAAAACATAAAAGTCCATTTTCTGGCTAAACTAGAGGCGCTAGGCCAAAAAGAAAGAAAATCTGTGATCATTTTAATTTCCCACTAAAAATCGATTTTTTGAGTGAAAACATAAAAGTCCATTTTCTGGCTAAACTAGAGGCGCTAGGCCAAAAAGAAAGAAAATCTGTGATCACTTTAATTTCTCAAAAAAAATCGATTTTTTGAGTGAAAACATAAAAATCCATTTTCTGGCTAAACTAGAGGCGCTAGGCCAAAAAGAAAGAAAATCTGTGATCATTTTAATTTCACACTAAAAATCAATTTTTTGGGTGAAAACACAAAAGTCCATTTTCTGTCTAAACTAGAGGTACTAGGCCAAAAAGAAAGAAAATCTGTGATCATTTTAATTTCCCACTAAAATCGATTTTTTGAGTGAAAACATAAAAATCCATTTTCTGGATAAACTAGAGGCGCTAGGCCAAAAAGAAAGAAAATCTGTGATCACTTGAATTTCTCAAAAAAAATCGAAAACATAAAAGTTTATTTTCTGGCTAAACTAGAGGCGTTAGGCCAAAAAGAAAGAAAATCTGTGATCACTTTAATTTCTCAAAAAAATCAATTTTTTGGGTGAAAACATAAAAGTCCATTTTCTGGCTAAACTAGAGGCGCTAGGCCAAAAATAAAGAAAATCTGTGATCACTTTAATTTCACAAAAAAATCAATTTTATGGGTGAAAACATAAAAGTCCATTTTCTGGCTAAACTAGAGGCGCTAGGCCAAAAAGAAAGAAAATCTGTGATCACTTTAATTTCCCACTAAAAATCGATTTTTTGAGTGAAAACATAAAAATCTATTTTCTGGCTAAACTAGAGGCGCTAGGCCAAAAAGAAAGAAAATCTGTAATCACTTTAATTTCTCAAAAAAAAATTGGTTTTTTGAGTGAAAACATAAAAGTCTATTTTCTGGCTAAACTAGAGGCGCTAGGCCAAAAAGAAAGAAAATCTGTGATCATTTTAATTTCCCACGAAAAATCGATTTTTTGAGTGAAAACATAAAAGTCCATTTTCTGGCTAAACTAGAGGCGCTGGGCCAAAAAGAAAGATAATCTGTGATCACTTTAATTTCTCAAAAAAATCAATTTTATGGGTGAAAACATAAAAGTCCATTTTCTGGATAAACTAGAGGCGCTAGGCCAAAAAGAAAGAAAATCTGTGATCATTTTAATTTCCCACGAAAAATTGATTTTTTGATTGAAAATATAAAAGTCCATTTTCTGGCTAAACTAGAGGCGCTAGGCCAAAAAGAAAGAAAATCTGTGATCACTGTCATTTAGCATCAAAAATAGATTTTTTGAGCGAAAACATAAAAGTCTATTTTCTGGCTAAACTAGAGGCGCTAGGCCAAAAAGAAATAAAATCTGTGATCATTTTAATTTCCCACTAAAAATCGATTTTTTGAGTGAAAACATAAATGTCCATTTTTTGGCTAAACTAGAGGCGCTAGGACAAAAAGAAAGAAAATCTGTGATCACTGTCATTTAGCATCAAAAATCGATTTTTTTAGTGAAAACATAAAAGTCCATTTTCTGGCTAAACGCTAGGCGCTAGGCCAAAAAGAAAGAAAATCTGTAATCATTTTAATTCCTCTCTAGAAATCGATTTTTTGAGTGAAAACTTAAAAGTCTATTTTCTGGCTAAACTAGAGGCGCTAGGGCAAAAAGAAAGAAAATCTGTGATCATTTTAATTTCCCACTTAAAATCGATATTTTAAGTGAAAAAATTAAAGTCCATTTTCTGTCTAAACTAGAGGTGCTAGGCCAAAAAGAAAGAAAATCTGTGATAATTTTAATTTCCCACTAAAAATCGTTTTTTTGAGTGAAAACATAAAAGTCCATTTTCTGGCTAAACTAGAGGCGCTAGGGCAAAAAGAAAGAAAATCTGTGATCACTGTCATTTAGCATCAAAAATCGATTTTTTGAGCGAAACATAAAAGACCATTTTCTGGCTAAACTAGGGGCGCTAGGCCAAAAAGAAAGAAGATCTGTGATCATTTTAATTTCCCACTAAAAATCGATTTTTTGAGTGAAAACATAAAAGTCAATTTTCTGGCTAAACTACAGGCGCTAGGCCAAAAATAAAGAAAATCTGTGATCACTATCATTTAGCATCAAAAATCGATTTTTGAGTGAAAACATAAAATCCATTTTCTGGCTAAACTAGAGGCACTACGCCAAAAAGAAAGAAAATCTGTGATCATTTTAATTTTCCTGCCAAAATCGCTTTTTTGAGTGAAAACACAAAAGTCCATTTTCTGGCTAAACTAGAGGCGCTAGGGCAAACAGAAAGAAAATCTTTGATCATTTTAATTTTCCAACAAAAAATCGTTTGTTTAATAAAAACATAAAAGCCAATTTTCTGACTAAACTAGAGGCCTAGTTAAAATAATACATAACTAAAGTGCGTTTTGTTAAGATTTAGCGAATGCGAAAACGAATGCGAATGTAAAAAGTAAGCGAATTTAATAACTTTCACTCACCTTTATATTTCGTAGCTAATGTTGAAAACACAACCATTGGAAACGAAGCAGCATATTTTCCTGCATTAACTAGAAACGGATGAACCTGACCGGTATCACTATAACGTCTTAAACACTGGGCAAAACGGAACCAAGAAGGTAAACAACGAACAATAGCATTGCCAATATAGTCACTCTCCAAACATTGGCTGTAGGGAAAATCTTCTTGCCACTTAGAATTGCTTATAAAAATACACAATAAATATTTGAAATCTAAAAGGCAAGCAACCAAAGAATTTAATTGATCACCAAACCAAAAATCTGCAAAGCCCACAGGAAAAAAGGGAGCCAATATGACACGACCCTTTAGAATTAAGATAAAACATTTATATTCTTACTTTTTAAAGTAGAAAATTTAACTTACAATTAATCTTAGCAGCCAGTAACGGGCATTTCGATAAAACAAGGGTAATGGATTGAAGAGAAAGGTTAACATGAGGGTAATTAATAATAATGGAAATACTAAAGGTGATATATTAATATAATCAGCATAAATAAACCCCAGTACACATAGGGACCATATAATACCAAAAATCGCATGTAATTCCAACAAATGAGAGTATTTCAAATGTTTTCGAGGATTTATTTCAAATATTAAAATATGATTAACTCCAGCACGACGCCAACTGAAAACATTTATTCCCAATAGAAACAGATACATAATCACATAAAATGGACCACGAAATAAGATTAAACCATGTACCGAATAGAAATTTATATCCAAATTGCCGAAAAATGCTAAAAACAAAGTTTTAAACCAAAAATTCTTTTAATAGTTATTTAATTAACTTATTTTGAATAATGTTTCATACATACACAGTATTAGTATAAAGCTCAATAACACTACAAAAGCTCCCAAAAAGAGTCCTACACGAAATACTGTTCCAACTTCTTGTATTTCATCTAGGGGTGGTACTCTTAAACGTTTCATAGCTTGTGCACGATCTCCATTTTCCAAATATTCTGTGAAGTTATTTTCCACCTCTACCATAAGTTCTTCCAGTTTATTATTTTTATAAAAATAGGCCGTTGGTATATTCTCATCGAACCATTTCTGTCCCTTTGTATTATTCAATAACTGAAATCGTATTAATAATGCTATAAACAGCCTGAGCGGAATTATAAAATTATTGTTAAAATTAGATCATAAAAATGGTTCTAAACTTTTTTTGTTTTTTTTTTTTTTAGTTTTCCCTTTTTTGCCATATGGTCCTATATTAGAAAAAATATTCCTTCCATACTTCAGGGGTTAACTTACGACATTTAAATGGGAATTTCGGTGGCATTTGAATAACTGAATTTGACTCCTATTTCGGAAAAATGTTTACAAAACTTGGGTCTTCAAAGGACTGAGGACTCTGAATATATATATATATATATTTGTAGAATGTACGACCTATATTTCGATTTGTTAGAAATAACACCTGGGGTATTAATGGCTACACATTGCACTTTTAACACATCGAAATATAATTTTTTTTTCATAACAGAGTATAGTTTTATAAACGCAAATAAATATACCTTATCATGTTTCTTCAATATCTTCTTAAAACCCGTATAATTTAACATTTTATAATTTTGCAATAGCACCAGACTTAAATACAATTCACTAAAACCGTTTTTTAAATCCATCAAATTTGTCTTTTTCTGTCTCAATCTTCTCTTAATCGTATTCTGATGTAAACTCTTGCGTGACATTGTTCGCGTTCTTAAACGAAACTCACCGATTAGCTCATCTAATACGGTAGAAAGTACATCATTACGCCTGCTGGCTTCGGCTAATTTTTCGGCATAAAATGTATTAATTTTACGTAATTCATTTTCACACTCTATGACGAATTCTTCTTCGAATTTTATGTAGTAATTGTCCATAATGCGGTTGGTGGAAATTTCTTTTAGAGGAGCATTTTCCAAAGCATTTAAGATCATGTTTTTCAGATCCTTTAAATAAAGATGTAGGATTGAAGTTTTTTGAATTTATGGCAATAATTTTTATTTTTATTTACTCACTGCATATGAAATGTATTGTTGACGCCATTCCGGTGTTAAATGGGCACTTAATTTTTCTGTAAATTTCATTTGAAAATGAGAAAAATTAGATCGGTTTTGAAATAATGTTAAGAAACAAATATGGCATTTATTTTAGAACCATTAATTGAAAAAGTATATACACCT